GTGTATAACACTTTTCTTGTATAACACTTTTCTTGTATAACACTTTTCGTGTATAACACTTTTGTTGTATAACACTTTTAGAATCTTTATACGGAATTGATATATAAAAGAAGTAATTCCGTTTATTATGTTATATTTTAAAATAAATTATAGCAATATTATGAAAAATAAATGTAATATATTTAATATTCGTTTATTAGTAGGTTTACCAAAGTAAGTGTTACAATAACCCTTGTTGACTGAATACATCCAATCAATGTGTTAACTCATATTTCCATATATCCGCAAGCTTGCTTTCAAAACATTACGTTTACTCGTACTCTACATTGCTTTTTTTCCCCATATCCTAAAAGTATGCAATAATTTCAAATTGTACATAACATTTTTAATCATTAAAGTATGTAAAAATTTATTCAAAAATTCAAATTTATTATTCCATATTTATATACGAGTAGCAGCATTTTCGTATGATAAACAGTGCTCTATATATTAATAAATCACAAATCGGGTTTTGTTTCGTCAGAGAGTAATATTTATTTAAAAGGAACGCATAGACAATATTTGTATATTTCACAATGTGTATATAAAATATTTATTTGTATTAAACGTATATAAATAAGACATAAACAACAAAATAAAATTAATTATTGTCCATTAAGATTTTCAATTTATTTATATGTATATATTATCTACATATTATTTTTTATATACACGTATATGTATAAATAAATAAAATATAAGTAATAAAAATAAGATTTTCCCTTAGAAAATATAAATTTTGATAGTCAAGTGCCCATATAAATTACAATCATTAAAAGAATTACTTCCCCGAAAATTTCATGAACGCACCACTTAAATATAATAATATTTTTGTTTTTTTTTTTTTTTTATATATAAGATTTAATATATTACATAGTTAATGTAATATATTTGTATATATATTTAGATTATTTATAAAAATAGTATCATCTTTTATTCTCTTATATATTTTTTCTATATATGTATATATGTATGTATATAAAATAAAAATATCCTTATAAAAAAGAAATTGCCATAACGATTTCAAAGTATCCTCCCATAATTTGTTTTTATTTTTTTTTGTTTTTTATGGCTATTTTTTCTTGTACAGATTTTTTTTTTTCTTAATAATGTTTTGGTTCTGAACCTTTTGATTTTTATTGAATTTTTCTTTTTCGTTATCCCGTGTTTCAGGAGTATTTTTTTTTTTCGTTTCTTGTCTTGAGATGTGAGAATATAATGATTTTACTTTAATAATGTATTTGAATAACTATATATGTATACAGTGCAATAACAATAATAATAATACATAATAGTAAAGTAATTTCAATTCAATTTAAGTATATTTTAAATTTATGTGATCATATACGTTGGTTGTGTTATATGTTGGTACCTAATCATATATATAAGTTAATAATGTTATATATTGTAAAATTTATTATAAACATTATCTATATGTATATATAGTTATAGAATAAATTTAACATTTCTTAATGCTAATATTTTATAAGTCGATTCTACTAATTTTTTTACCTATAACAATTTTAGGTTAAGTTTTAAAACTGCTATTCTGACATTTATTTTGATGCCAATTACATATATGTACGACAAAATTTTTTTTTAATAAATCAAAGCATTGACTCAATTTACAGTAGACTCGCCATTATATAAATTAATTAACACGTTCCCTGTCCGCTGAGCCACATATGGTTCAGAAAACGTGCGCTTGATAAGCACTGATACGTTCCTGAGCCATATATGCGTCAGGGGGTATATGAATATTTTAAAGCAAATTATTCGACTGGACGTAAAGGAACTGTACAGTTTCTACACTGGACGTGCTATGACTACAAAAAAAAAAACAAATTATTCAAAAAACCTTGTTGGACATCTTATGACTACAAAAAAAACAAATTATTCAAAAAACCCTGTTGGACTTGTCGGTCAATTTCGCATTCATTTTTGTATTGGAATAGGGTACGTGTTAGTGCTAGGCAGGGTTCAAATAACCGAACTGTTTACATAAATGTAAAGGAGTAATTACACTCTTAAGGAGTACATTTAATTATTTTATAGTATGCAATTAATATTCTGCAATTACAAAGTTAATCGTTCATATTATGTGTGCACATGTTAATATAATTAACGCCGAGTCTATTATGTACCCAACTATTCTCAATTATAGAATTTTAAAGATTATATAATAGGAATCTATTTCCAATTCCCAATTTATTATGTTAATAAAGTTGTTATTAATCGTAAATAAAATGCTTAAATATCGTAATTACAAAATATCGTAATTAGAAAATATCAAATTTCTTTCACACAATTGCACTTAAAACTTCACCCAGTAAGTATTTGTGCCGAAAATCAAAATTTATTTAATTTTTTTTTATATGAAATTTTATTAATATTAAATTTTTTATTGAAAAGCAATATTAGAATTTCAGATTCAGAATAACACTTTTAATTTTTTTTTTATTAACTTAATGTAATTCTCAAATTATTTCCATAAAGCAATTAAAGTTAAAAACTTCAATAAAAATAATCAAAATAATTCTTTTGTTATTTTTTATTTTTTTTTTTATTTTTTTTTATATTATTATATGACGAACACATTATTATTTTATATACATATACATTTGTATATTTGCATGTGTATAACTATAAAATATTAAGAAATTCATACAAAATTGTTTTATAACTATTAAAATATGCTGTAGCTGTGTTATATAAACATTCATACAAACATATGTACATACTCTTATTCATATATATTTATAATTTATAAACATTGCTGCTACCGTAACAAATATATAAGAACATAAATATATTTATACATATAGGTACAGACATTTTTTAACTCCTGCCAACCATTAAGAAATTAAATGCAAAGAAATTAGATAAAGAAAAAAAAAATATTCTTGATATTTTCTTATTATTTGATTTTCCCATAAAAATTTAATTTCATTACAAAAAAGAAGAAAATAAAAAGAAAAAAACTAAAAACGAAAAGAAGAAAATATTTTTTTTTTCTATTTGTTTTTCAGAGGCGTGTCAAATTTCTTTCACACAATTATAAAAATTTCTCACTTTTATGAAAATTAATTGAGAAAAACCACTCCATTTTGATTTGACTGCTTTCAGTTCACAGGTTCTCTCTCTCATTATATTTTATTTTTCTCCTTCTGTGAGAATCATTTTATTGCATCACATCAACTAATATACATATTGGAAATTTTGAGAAATGTTGCTTGTGTTTTCCAATTGATAGAATTGAGAAATGTATACGAGGAATTTGGTTTATTTGAATATTACACGTTCTGTTTTGTTTTTTTTATATATTCTATTGCTATGCCACTCTACACTATAGAACTTTTAATTTGTATGTACATATGGAAACAAACGCTTAGAAATAAAGAATTTAAAAGCGGCAATATTTTAACAAGAATTTGTTTCTAAATTACGATAAAATTATAATTAAAATAATATTATAATAATATTGATATTATGTAAAAAAAATAGAAAAAAAAAAAACAAAAATTAAACATTTTTTATGTCATCCCTTGCGGGGATCGAACCCGCGACCTTTGGATTAGAAGTCCAACGCGCTATCCTCTGCGCCAAAGGGACAGTTGTGTGTTTGTTGCAAAATGACTCACACAAATCTGGACAGATATTTACAGTTACAAAAAGAATAAATAACCAACATTGTATGTATCTACATATTAAGGCATAATTTTGTTATGTTGTTTATTCTAAGTCGGCAAGTAATTCTAGTTTTGGAATTATGAAATTAATTATAATTTCCATTATAATTATTTAAAATAAGTGTAATTTTTTTAATTTGTTTTTAAATTGTAATAAGATAAATAAAAAATATAGGTATGAATTGTGAAATTTCAAAAAGCCTATAAAAATAAATTGAATTTTAAAGATTGAGCACACGCATTCGACTTAAGGTTTTTGAGAGCATTACAAAGTTATAATGTCAATTTAAATTGATTGTAGTAAAATTACAAGTAATATATTTTTTTAATTTGTATACATATATTATATTCTAATGTGAAACAAGTTATTTTGATTATATTTGTAAAGGGTGTCTGCGACATAAATAAATAATATTTGTGTAATTACCATGGATTTTACCTTAAAATTTTATGTATAATTGAAATGAAGTGTTAGAACAATAATATGACAATCCAAAAATAGTTATAAACATTATTATATTTTGCAATGAGGCTTCTTATGTGCGATAATAATTTTGTAACTTTAATTGTACACTAAAATTATTTTTTGGTACTTCTGAAACATTAGAAATATAATGTTAAAAAATTTTTCATTTAAAGTTTTAACATTTAATTTACATGTCAAAATATTGAGTACTTTTGATATTATTGCCATCTACTTGTTGCTTCTTAAAAATTATGTGGGAAATTTTCATTGGGACACCTAGAAATAATAATAACTGCTAAGTACTATTTAAATTCGTAAATGGATTTTTTTTTTTTTTTTTCAAATAAATATAATTATTGTACAATTTAAAATCGCAAAATTCATGTAAGAATTAAAATAATTTGGAATGATCCTTGGAATTTTATAAAAATATTTCCTTTTCAATTTTCTTAAAGTACTAATTGGTTCGAGTCTTTAATGAATTTAATATTGTGAATTAGGAAAAAATTATATGAAATATTTCCAGGAGAAACCAAAATTTAAAATTTCTGTATAAATATTAAAAAATATTTTAAAAATAAAAAACAAATTGTAAAATTTGGATATTTTAATTAATAATCTAAAAATCAAACTTTTAATTTTAATTTAAAAATGGGAAACAAGAATTTTGTAAAACCATTAATCCGTCATATATTATGTTAGGTGGGTAACACTAATGTGATTAAATGATAAAATTAAAAAGTCGTATTTAATGTAAACGTCAAAAATTTTATTGTCAAATAAAATTATTGTAAACTAAATTTTAATATAAAAATTTAATTTTAAGATTTTTAAAAATTTATTTTAGAATAAAATTTTATATAATTTATTATTGATAGTTTAAGTGTAATAAAGCAGTAAAACGCTGATTATGGATACAACACTATGCAAAGAAAATGAAAATATTGCAATCAAAACTCATATAGATTTAGAATCAAGTTGCAGAATTTGTTTATTATCAGATTCTGAATTAATATTAATTTTTGACCAATTACATAGTTTTAATGGAGTATCTATAGCAACTATGATAAACGAATGTTCACCATACAAGGTACATATACATGTATATAATAAATTTTACCTTTTTTGTTTTTTAAATATTTAAAGATTTAAATTGAATCTAATTTGTTTAGGCAATTCGGTTTGACGATTATCCCCAACAAATTTGTCTTAAATGTGTTGAAGATGTGAAAGTTGCATATTCCTTTAGAAAACATTGTGAAGATTCATATTCAATTATTACAGCATATTTAAATGGTGGTCAAGAGCCTTCAATTACAGATCTTAAAGTAATTCCAAAATTAGATAAATGCACGCAAACAGATGAGAATTCTGTTCATCCATGCGAAAAATGTGATCTGAAATTTTTTACTATCGATTCCTTAAGGGTATAAATATCTTAAACAAGCGTTATACATAATATATAACTTATTAATTTAATTTTAGCTGCACAGATTATACAAACATCGCGGAAGTAAAAACGAATGTAGAATATGTAAGAAAACTTTTCGAAGGGTTGGAGATCTAACAGGTCATTACACAATGTATCATCCTGAACTAGGATTTCATGAAAACATTAATTGTAACATTTGCGGGAAAAGTTTTGAAAGAAAAACATACTTGACGAAACATTTAACCCAGGTCCACAAAATATCAAAAGTGCCTAAACCTATAAATGAAAATACTCAACCTTTAAACCAAATAAATTCAAATGCGTCAGAGAATCATTTGGAAATTAAAGAACTTGAAATTAATGTCGATGGATTAACGAAAAAAGGACAGAGAAAAGGAAAGAAAAATATTGAATCCAAAAAGGCACGTTCGAGAAAGAAAGCCGGGAAAAACATTGGTAAACAGATTTTGGATGAGCTTAGTGAAGATGAAATACCGATCAGCAAATTAAAGGAAGATAAATTAATATTAGAACACAAAATTGAATCAGAATCTGCAATAGAAAATTTTTCGGATGCAGAATTTGATTTTTCAAATGATATAACAAATACACAGGATGATAGCGAAGAAGATAAAATTGAAATAGGCAACATTGAAATATCAGAAAATCAGACAATAGACAAAGAAATTACTGAACCAGGAAATGCTGAGATAAAAGTTAAAACTGAGGAAAATTCTGAAACTCTTTCAGAAAATGCTTTAAATATAAATCAGATAAAAAATCTGAACTTGAAAATTCGGACATGTACTATATGTTTAAAAGTTTTTCGATTTCCCCATCACTTAAAACGTCATATGTTAGCGAAACATAGTAATGAAAAACAATTTAAATGTACAACATGTGCATCAGCTTTCGCAACACCCGATTATTTGAAGAGTCATATGAAAAAATGTCCAATTGATCGTTCTATTTCTAGGGCTAGAGTTAAAAAATATGACTGTAAAGGCTGTGAAGAAAAATTTTCATCAACACGTGCACTTAATAATCACATGAGAGCAGAACATCCAAATTTATTCAAAAAAGTATTTACCTGTAGTTACTGTTCTTCATCATTTCAAACTAGACATGAATGCACTGTGCATACAAATACTCTTCACGAAAATGACAAGGAATATTTATGTACTCAATGTGGTGAGAATTTTTTAGAATTGTACTTCTTTTATTTGCTCAAAATTTTAACATCCTGAAACACTAATTTTAATTTTAATATTATTTTAAGGACAACGGTTTGTTCGTAACAGAGCTTTAGAAATACATATGAGAAGACATCGTGGAGAAAAAAATCATAAATGCAAATTTTGTGGAAAAGGTTTTGTTCGAGCTGGTGATAAAGATTTACATGAAAAGTAATTTATTTCAGCACAAAATACTTTTAAGTGTGTATATTTATGCTTTCGTTTATTTGTTTTTAGATATCATACAGGCGACAAACGTTTTAAATGTGAAATTTGTGGTCAAGGTTTTGTAAGAAATTATAGTTTAAGAGTTCATATGAGAATACATACTGGAGAAAAACCATATCGCTGTGAAAATTGCCCAAGAACATTTGCACAAAGTAATGATCTTAAAACTCATGTACGTCGCGATCATACTGGCGAGAGATACGTCTGTGAGATTGATAACTGTGGGGAAAGTTTTCTTCAATTATATTTATTAAATAGACATAAAAGAAACGTACATAATATATCTGCGGCATCACATATTCAAAGAGTAAAAAAGGTTTATGAAATAGATGCAAATAGCAAAGATATTTTCATTGTAGGAAGTTAAAATATATTTTAGTAAAAAAGCAAAATAAACTTATTGTTTTAAAATGTATAATTTGTAGATCAAAATTATAAAATGTTAAATTTAAAAAAGAAATTAAAATTCAGGCAAAATTGGTGGGCATGTACATACTAAATGTTTATCACCGTACGCGTCATCAATTCTACCAACAGTTGGCCACATTTTTGTATCTGCTTTAACAAATGGTGCAGGAAATGCACCTTGTTCTCTAGTATAAGGTCTATTCCATTCACTCGAAATTATTTGATGTTGTGTATGTGGTGCCATTTTTAATGGATTTGTAACTTTATCCATTTTACCCTCTTCGATTTCTTTTATTTCATAACGTATAGATATCATAGCTTCACAAAATCGATCTAATTCTTGTTTATCTTCTGATTCAGTAGGCTCGATCATAAGAGTTCCGGTTACTGGGAATGACATAGTTGGTGCATGAAAACCATAGTCCATTAAACGTTTTGCTATGTCTACAACTTCTATATTGGCTGTTTTTTTGAAATCTCTCATATCTAAAATAAATTCGTGTGCAACTAACTCAGTTTTTGGATCTTTATATAATGTCTTATAATGATTTTCTAAACGTTTTGATAAATAATTTGCGTTTAATATTGCAACTTGTGTCGCTCTTTTCAAACCTCGTCCGCCCATCATTTTTATATAGGCCCAAGATATAGGTAAAATGGCCGAACTGCCAAATGGAGCAGCACTCACTACACCAAAACTGCCTGTTTGATCTTCCATTGGACTAATTACAGGATGGCCTGGTAAATAAGGAGCTAAGTGACTTTTAACACCTATGGGACCCATTCCTGGTCCACCACCTCCATGCGGTATACAGAAAGTTTTATGAAGATTTAAATGAGACACATCGCTTCCATAGTCACCTGGTCGGCAAAGACCGACTTGTGCATTCATATTAGCACCATCCAAATAAACTTGGCCGCCATGCTTATGAACTAAATCACAGATGTAGCGAATATTATCTTCAAAAACACCCATTGTTGATGGATAAGTAACCATTAAACATGATAGGGTATTTGAAAATTCTTCAGCCTTTTCTTTCAGATGTTCTAAATCAATGCTACCATCAGATTTTATACGAATTGGTTCAACAGTCATTCCAGCCATTTGGGCCGAAGCTGGATTTGTACCATGAGCACTAACTGGGATCAAACAAACATGTCTATGACCCTCGCCGCGACTTTCATGATATGAACGAATAGCTCTTAAACCAGCATATTCACCTTGAGCTCCACTATTAGGTTGAAACGAAATTTTATCATATCCCGTAATTTCACATAAATCTTTTTCTAATTCTTGGAATAATTGGTGATAACCTTTTGCTTGATCGACAGGTACAAAAGGATGAATTTCAGTAAAATGTTGAAATGAGCATGGCATCATTTCTGTTGAAGAATTCAGTTTCATAGTACAAGATCCTAATGGAATCATTGAATGAACTAAAGAAATATCTTTATTTTCTAATTGTTTCATGTACCTAAAAACAAATGGAATTATTGAAAAAGAAATAAAACTTAAATCTTTAAATTTATACCTAACCATTCTCGACTCGCTGTGATAACTACTAAAAACTGGATGTGTGAGAAAAGATGAAGTTCTTGCCAATTTTGTATCTTCAATTGATTGGATATCAATCTCTGCTTCTTGTTTTAATTCTTTAATTGTTTTTTTGCATTTGAAAATCCATAATAAATCATCCAAATCAGTTTCTTTTACAGTTTCATCTAATGAAACACCAATACTACCATCATCAAAATATCTTAAATTAATTTTTTTTGATTCTGCTCTTTGTTTAATTTCTTGCATTGCTTCATTTTCCAATACAATGTGTAAGGTATCAAAGAAATGTGGATTTGTAACTTTATAGCCAGCAGTTTCAATTCCAATTTTTAGAATACCACAATATTTATGAATTTTTTTTGCAATATCTTTCAAACCATCCGGTCCATGATAAATTGCATACATTGCTGACATATTTGCTAGAAGAGCTTGAGCTGTACATATATTACTTGTAGCTTTATCACGTCTAATATGTTGTTCTCTGGTTTGTAATGCCAATCTATATGCTTCATGATTATTCATGTCTCTTGTTACACCAATCATACGACCAGGCATTAAACGAACTAAATTTTGTTTACATGCAAAAAATCCTGCATGTGGGCCACCATATCCTAAAGGTACTCCTAAACGTTGTGATGTTCCAATAGCAATATCAGCACCAAATTCACCTGGAGCTCTTAGCATAGTTAAAGCAAGTAAATCGGTTGCAACAACAACTAATGTTCCATTAACATGAGCTTTTTCGACTAATTTTTCGTAGTCATTAATATGTCCTAAAGTATCAGGATATTGTATAAGAATTCCTAAAATAAAATTAAAATTATAAGAATTTTCGCATTTTTAAATCTTAATCAGTTTTTATTTTCTAAAATAAAATTAATATTAAAAAAAAGATATGCTTATGCTCACTGTCTGAAATTTTATTGTTTAATTTACGTTGCTGCTCCCAGTGGGGTCATATTTTTATTATTTATTAAGAGACAGTGATAACCACAAAGTTAATAATAAAAAGCAATAATATTATTTGTGAAATTGTCAGCAAATCACGACCACTTATGCACAGTTTGTTTTTACAAATAAAAATTAAATTCACAACATGATAAGGAATCACTTTGGTTTTGTTTAAATTAATTTCAAAATAAATAAAATAACATAACTACTATTTATTTTATTGTATTTATTTACAAACCTGATAATTGCCTTGATTCAAAATCAACATTTGAAATTGGACCAATTTCAACTTCTAGTTCTAAAGCAGTAGCTCTTGTTTCAACAACAGATAATGTTTGTGGATGAACTTTATCAGATAAAAAAATTTTTTTACGTTTATTTGATCTTGTACAGAGGCACATTGCTTCAGCAGCTGCAGTACCTTCATCTAATAATGATGCATTAGCAACATCTAATTTTGTCATTTCAGATACTAAAGTTTGATAATTTAATAATGATTCTAAACGTCCTTGTGCTATTTCCGGTTGATATGGTGTATATTGTGTTGTCCAACCAGGATTTTCAAATATATTACGCATTATTGTATGTGGTACATAACAATTATGATAACCCATTCCAATATATGAACGCCATATTTCATTACGTTCAGCAATTTTTTGTATTTTTGCTATTAATTCATGTTCATTAATTGGTTCATCTAAATTTAAATTACGTCCCAATTGTATATTTTTTGGTACAGCTTTATTTGATAAATCATCTAATGATTTATAACCAATTAAATCTAACATTGCAACAACATCAGTTTTTCTTGGTCCGATATGACGTCTTGCAAAACCTGTTTTATTAACAAATATATCTTGACTAGTTGCTAAATATCTTGATGTTATCCGAATAATATTTTCATTTTTTGATAATGATGACGTCATCAATATTGAATATTTCGGTATTGATGGATTTTTTATTATTTTATACATTTTATGGCTGTATATAAATGTAGAGAGAGAACCGTACAGCCTTATTATTTTATGAAGACTAAATATTATTAAGATGAATTTTTATAATATAGAGATGAAATTTAGAATGAAAAGATTGAGAATTTCAATAATATTAGTGATAAGAAATTTAATGGTTATCAGGTTATCAAAGAAGAGTAAACAAACAAAATTAATGATTAATGAAGTAGCTAAAAATGAGTAAATCTTTATTGAACACAAATTATATTAGCTGATAGTGATAAGGAACATTAAGTGTATGAATGTATGTATATAATTTAGGTACCGCGACAATTTTGTCAGAATTAATATTAAATAAATTAATTTTATTACTATGGACCTATGAATTTTTTTTTTTGGCAATTTGAAATTTTGCTTACATAAAAATATTCAAAAGTGTGGTTGTTTTTATCTCAGTCATTTTAATAAAATCTATATATGAAGATGAAAAGGTCAAAATTAATAAATCTTTCCAAAATAGATAATTTGTTTTTGAACTTATACAACATATCTACACACTAATTATATTAATAAATTATATACAAATTACCTACATTAATCTCGAATTTTTAAAGAATGTGTTTGGTGTTATTTAAATTTGTTTTTTAAAATAGTGATAATGTTACCATTATGATGAAAAAATTTATAAGTAATTTTATTTATTTTTGTTTTTGTTACATGATTTTAATTGTGACCATTTACCTTATCTGTTCCTACGAAAACTTATAGGTACCTATTAAATATAATTTTACAGACTAAAATTAGGGGTAATTTTTATGTTTTTAAAAAATATGATAATTTTAGTCTTATTTTAATGAAAGTCATTTAAAAAAATTTAAATTTTAACAGTTTGGATATCGTTTGGATGATCGTAAATTACCTGTGTACCAACTTCAGAAAACAGAAAAAAAAAGTTTCGCCTAAATATATGCAATATTATTCGATTTTATCAATCAATGATATTTTCTGCAATAAATTCAAAATTAAAGTGTTGCTTCAAGATTTAAAAATTGGAATATTCTAGTTACTAGCTAGCTTACTGTCAAGTATAATTTTTTCTTAAATAATTACAATTTAAAAATATGTTATAGGTGGCAATTTAAAACTTATTTCTTTTAGTAATAATAATAAATTTTTGTATTTCAATAAAAATCTTATAATTTAGTGTTTTTTTAGCAAAATAACGGTTCTTGAAAATGTCTCGATATCTGAAAATTATTTATGTTTATATTTTTTATTAAGTAGCTGAGAAAAATTGTGTAAAGAGCATTTTAGAAATTTCACAAAAATTTCATGAAAAATTGCCGGGCAAAAAAAAAGGAAAAAAATAAAATATGAGAAACGTTGGGATTTTCCAAAAGTTCGAATGCTTGTATTTTCGAAAAAAAATTATTTTAATTTTAATTGTTTATTTTTTTTTTATTTTGTACATAATACGCAAGATTTATTTATAGTACATACATTGTATATATAAATTAAATTGTAAAATAAAAATTTCTTATTTTTTCATCATTAAGTACTTAAAGTAAGCATTTTTTTTATATAAGTATCTAAAAAAAAAATCCGTATACCAGTCGGTTAAAAAAGTTTTTATACATTTTAAATGTTTTATACTTCCAAGCCTCCAAATATGCAGTTTTTTAATCAATTTTTGAAAAATAAATTTAAGCAATCGTTTCTTTCGGATTTTAACAAAAAAAATTTATGTTTTTGTACGAAATAGGGAATTCCCCGCAAAAAATTACAAAGAACACGGAAAAATAATTATAAAGCCAAGAAGTACGGTCGGCTAAAATTATTTTACTATAAGGAACGGCGAGCTATTGTTGACATGATAAAAAGAAGAACCAAAAATTTCAACTCCATCTATCTTGTATCCTTAATTGTAATAAGATTTAGAGCTAAGAATATATTGAGTTATTTAGTATATAAAAACTTTTTTGACCGACTGATATACATATATGTACATACGTATAAGAATATAATATATATATATGTATATATATTTGTGAATTGTAGAAAAAAAAATAATACATTATAAATAATAAATTACCTCTTTCGAAGGTAAGTTTAACAAAAAAAAAAAAAAAATTGTAAAACAAAATTACAAAAAATCAAAAATTTAATCAAAATTCCATGTTCTAATGTATCGTTTATGTTCATTCCTTGGACATCTTCCTTCTGATATAGAATAATCACCAAATTCACATGTTGGTACTGTGCATCCCTCTTTTATTACACAACTACAAATATAATAAATTTCTATTATATAATTCTGATGTCACATATACTTACGTTAAACAAATTCAATACTTACTTTCTATCATCCATTGGAAATCCTTCTTCACCTTGTTTAAATCTTAGACAAGCTGTATCATTACTAACACAATCACAACGACAATTCTTCTTATTATTATTATTATTGTTATTATCATCATTATTATTATTATTATCTTCAAAAACAGTAAAATATTTGGCACATTTACATGGTAAACTAAAATTTAAATTTAATTGTTGTTGCTGTTGTTGTTGATTTTGTATTAAATTTCCAGTATCATTTTTTATTAATTGTAATGGTGCAGATGATGATGATGAAGATGATAATGATGATGTTGGTCTATAACGTTCACGTTCAACACAATGACATTCAGTATGATTTTCAAATGATAATGTTTCAACAATAGGTTCTTTAGTACCTAATGGTACAACCTTATAAAAGAATAATAATTTTAATAGATTTATTAAATTAAAGATAAGGGAAGAAAATACTTACATAAAAATATAAATCAATTATTTGTGATTTTTTCATAACACATGTCCTAAAATCTGATTGACAACATCCAGTATCATCACCACATTTATGTATTATTGTACAATGTGGTACATAACGTTTTGATGGTTCACTAATTTGAATAATTTTTGGTTTTGGTATTCTACATTCAGCCTCATAACCTACTCTCATTATATGTGCATTTACTTTTTGAACTGTGAAAAATTTAAAGGAAAAATTTTATATGAATAAGAAGTCAACTGGAGTTTTTTATATTTGTAGGTTCATTTTAATGTTGCAGTATACAGAACAAAATATTTTGTAATTAAAATGAGTATTAGTTGATTGGAGGATCAAAGCTACCGCAATTGCCTTGCTTTAATTATGCCACATTATATTAGTATCGGGTGATTTTTTAAGCGTTCTTATTCTGAACAGAAAAACTGTACAACTAATTACAAATTTCCATGTAATTTTTGAATCAAGAACGGTGTCGAGGAGAACAAGATGGCTGACGAGCGGGCGATGGCCGACACTTCGGAAATGTAGTTGTCGATGCTTCCCTTCTTAGAGAGTCGAAGAACATTATAGATGAGAAAATTAGAAGTAAGGGAAGCGTGCTTTGGTGTGGCGGGCGCAACTACAAGAGCCTTATCGCCGAAAAGGAGCGGAGAAATAACGAGGGCGCTGTTGGTGATGGTTGCTGGCTGAACTACGTTCGGGTGATGGAGGATGTGCAGCATGTGCTGTGCAAGTACTCCGCTCTGATGCGAAGCAGAGGGCACTTTTTGGGAGGATATCGGTTCGACGGTTCGGAGGTTCTCTCAAAGGTGTTTGTGAGTAATGTGCTGGGGTGTTTTAAAAGACTTCAATTGATATAGGGGAATGGCTGCGCTGTGGACGCCGATAAACCTTCTGTTAGTCTAGTGCTGGATGGCAGCGATGAGGCTGCCGTCTCTCTGCCGACGGAATACCGTCGTATGCATATATAGATATTATATGAAAATTATTATTCTAGTAGCAATAAAAATTCCCTTTTTGTTTTAGTTTTACACAATTTACATCAATTTAAAATTATTTTCAATAAAAATAAAATTCTTCCAGGAATAATTTAAAATTTTCAATAATATAGATTTGTATTCACATATATAATATATACTTAATATGCAACATAGTGAATTATTTATGTAAGTTATAAAAAATGAATAATTAATTTTATTTGACATTTTGTTCTAATTTGTAAATTTATATTTTGTAATTGTAGCTAAATATGCATATACCTACATATTTGTCGTAATGTTATATACATACATACATGGTAACGAACACTGATATATTATGTATTTAAATAATACAAAATAGTGACAAATTCTAATTTTCTTATGTTCATCCATACACACATGCATAAATAAAATTATGTTCAAAATTATTTTAATAACATGATATTTTGAGTAATTAAATTGAATATTCAAAAATTTTAAATGATAATTTCAGTGGCTCTAGGAAGTAAACTAGGAATTTTAAATTTTATTAAACTTTAATAGGACAAACTTTTTTAATTATGAATTTATTAATACAACATCATAGTTGTGAAATTAATAAGTATGTGCTTATTACACTAATAATTTAACTTAATGGAAATTTCTTCATGCAACTGCAGAACAAATGGAAAAAATTTTCTCCTCGAACTGGACTCGAACTAGTGACCTACCGCTTTCTAGGCGGACGCTCTACCAACTGAGCTACAGAAGCATGAAGAAATTGCCTCTCTTTTTTAATGTTATTTTTAAATTTAAGGCAAATTTCTTTCAATTAAATCATTTAAAACTCAATTTTAAGTATAACCTAACAAGAATATCGGAGTAAAATGAGATATTGGAGAACAAATCAGCTAAATACAAATATTTTTCTCGTAATATCGAGAAGTTCGCCAAATTAAAAATTAAATTGTAAATTTGTAGGCAACACAATATGTGTTCGCTGAAATAGAATGTTTGTTATAAATGACTGACTGGTTCATTGTTTATGGAAGTTTTACTATGTATATATATCACTGATTCCCTGATATTTATATACAAGATTGATTAATAAATAATGAGCAATTAAATTACGGATTTTTCTGTTCAACAAAAATTTTCCCAAAACCTTAGTATTCACCATTATTTGAGCATTATAGCAGAAAATTTTATTTCACATTCATAAGTAAAATTAAATTTCACATAATAGGTACCACCTATCTTCAATTCTAATTTGTTTAGTTTTTTCTTTTTTGAAATAAAATGACTAATAGTTACTAAAAATATAATTAAATAATACAAATATGAGTTAACAAGCGATTGTAATTTTTGTATTTATTATGAAAAATGAAAAATAAGTAAAAATTTAATTTTTGTTGGTTGTAAAATTTTAAAATGAAATTATTAAAAATTTGACACAAAACATAAATTTGAATGAATTCCAAGTGGAATATACTCTAGTATTTAAATTCTAATAATAATGTGTGGGTACATACATAGGTATGTGGGTATGTAAAAAAATAAATTTCTAAATATTCTTATGGGAAAATTTGGGGGTAAAAACTAATGGATTTTTCGTTATTTTTCCTGTAATATTGTAGAATTTTATAAATAATAAAGAAAGTGGACACGATGTTAATCATTCACAAGAGAGAGAGAGAGAGAGGGAGAGAGAGAGAGAGGGAGAGAGAGAGAGAGAAAAAAAAAAAATAAATATACTTTCCAAAATTATAATGACACCAACAGATGGACTAAAAATATAAAATTTTTATTTTAAATTCATTTTAAATTTCTTCGCCTCCATTGTTGTTGATCTGTTTTTTTTTTTTTTTAACAAATTGTAAATTTATTAATTAACATTAATAAAAATATGGAGGATTAAGATAGCGCCATTTAATGGCGCTACAAAATTAATTAACTGAGAGAAAAACGATTATTTAATAGTGTTGGCGCCCTTGAATTTATTGTATTAAAAATAGTTGATTTATTGAATCGATTAACACGATTGAAATTATTTTAATTGAGAACACACTAAAAAAAATTATTGTGAAGTAATGTTGTGATTATTTATTTTTAGTGTACATGAAAAAATATTGCTACCTCTTATAAAGTTTACCACTTATTTACTAGAATTATATACGAGGTTAAAGTTAACTATATGACAATTTTAACAAAAAATTTGCATTAAAATGCACACAAAACCGTCAGCCATCCTATGACACCGAGTCAGATTGAAGTTTTTGTTAAGTTTAATTTAGTTTTAGTGATCGAAGAATTTCAAACCGATTAAAAATGTGAGTTATATGCAATCACTTTTTATAGTAGTCTGCAAATCGGTGAAAGGTACAATAACTTTCGTATGGTCTGAACCTGAAGGAGTCGTCTGTAGTATGAATATGCATATATATTCTTCTTCAGTGTAAATTTTCCGTTGATTAAATAGTGTCTGCCCGTCCGCATGATCATTTAAAAATGAATTAAACAAACACCACCACAAATTGAAGGCGGATATTTTAATTGGACCTATTCGGCAATGGGCTCGTCCATATAAAATAAAAATTGGAATATTGTTATCAAGGTGCAGCATAATTTTTACTTGAATTTGACCTTGTCAAGGTGGGGTATAATTTAGTTGGCTTGGACAGACTGAATGGTTTGTACTTGTTAACAACTTAATCAGGTATGAATATCGGAAAACACTCATATAATAGCCAACATGTATGTATACATAAATTATTTAATTTAAAATTTATTATAAGATTAAATATAATCATGAAATCAATTGCATCTATAGTACTTCGATAAATTATTTATATAATCGCAATGTGATCAGTTTTCTCTAAATATTTTTTTCTTAAAACTTTTTATTATTTAAATTCGCGATATTTTCAATAAACGTTTAAAATTCTTCGTATTTATGTAGCAAACAATGTACATAATGTATATATAAATACTAAAATTGCTATAATTTATTAATAAAATTTTAAAATATTTTTCTCTATTTAAATATTTTATTAATAATTTCCTTATTGAAATTAGATGGTTTTTTCTTCCTTTTATGAAATTCCACAATATTAAATTGGATAAAAAAATTTATGAAGTCTTATGGGATGCACACTCTTCTATATGACTTCTACTCTATGTATATATGTATATGTGTGTATATGTATAATACATTAAATCTCATTAGAAAAATAATAATGTTGTGATAGCAATCATATTCTTATTACAACAAAAAAAATATATGCACATAACAGAAATAATATGTATGATGTATACTATGTATTATATAATTATATATACATACTGGTACATACTATGTGGGTACATTCATAGGTTGCAGCAATTAGTCTTATAATTACCTTGTATCGTGACTTAACGAAATTGTATCAGATGGCCCAAATCGCAAATATATACGGACAAAACCACGTTCCTCTCTCTCACCGGTTTAGTTGTAACAATGAGCACTCCCCAATTCTAAAAACTCTATCTGTATAGCAAGTCGTGGAGCAATTTGTGCGATGCTTGCTATTTCAACCTCACACACGGGGTTGAGAACACACCCGCCCCTATATTTTTGGCAATCGACAGTTTTCGTACCGTCTGTACAAAAGAAAATTCATGTATGCGTCTGTTCCCTTTGTAAAATCACAACTTCGTAGTGCATTCTCTAGCTTGTATATGGCACCACATAATTGGTTCATGCTCAACGGAAAACTAAACTAGGTGCTAAAAAACTGAGAAGTGAAAATGGAAACTTCTGCAGCAGTTTAAAATTGTTGAGACTAAAATTTGAAGTTTGGTATACGGCTTATCTTCAATTAATTAAACAGACGGACAATTTAGACACCAATAGCCAAATTTTTTTACTCTTCTGAAAATATGTAGACGTATGTTAATAATGAACAAAAATTTTTTCAATTTTCTTAAATTTTTTGTGTTCTCAACTTAATATTGTTTGTGTGTGTGTATGCTCTTCGTTTTTTTTTTGCATTTTGGTTAGCAAAAGAACACGGAAGATTCACGTTCAGAATGAAATTTTGTTTTTTTTTTTCGATTTAAAAAAAAATTCCACTGAAAAAAATGGTATTGTCGCGCTTCATTATCAAACATATGTACTATAAAAATGCGATATGCATCTGTAGGGCAAAAGCAGGAATTTTTAACAACATAATCATCGCGTCTCCAGAAGTTGCATAAGTAAATAAAATAACTTATAAGTTGTAAGAAAACAATCTTTATAATGAAAAAATTACTTGTAACGTGTTTGTATTTTAGAAGGCATGTATATACATTTGTAGACATATATGTACATACATACATGTTATACGATGAACTTCCAATAAAGTAAAATCGATTGTTATTACAGTTAAGGCTTTGCAGTTATTGATCCCAATTTAAAATTTACGTTTGTAATATTTTGGTAGGATCTTTTTATTTTAAATTTCTACTAAAGCGAATTGAGACATGCTGGCCTTAATCATTAGGAAGATTTCGTTTCCTCGTTCGTTTTTGTAAGAAGCATTGGAAATGGCATCGCAAGAATAAAATCATAACAATGTCCTCAGAGAGTTGAGAAATATTGTAGGTTGTAGTTTTTGACATTTTGTCGCATATATTTGGAAATTTCCTCACTTACTATTTTTGATATTCTAGCTTTATATGTAAAAATATTAAAACAAGACTCAAGACTCATTACACCATTGCACCTATGAAAATATTTCTTATAGTTGCTGGCCATAACTATTATTTTTTTTTGAATGAAAATTATGTTTTAATTTTTTTTTTCGTTTTGTAGTTATAGTTTTAACTTGCAATATTTTAGTCCATTCTTCCATACTTTCAAACAAACAAAAAAAAATATAGAAGTTCTTTTGTTGTCAACAGATTAGCGCTGCACAAAACATACTACTTTTTGTTAGAAGCAAGCAACATTCTATATTTTTTAGAAATATGCTTGTATGTGTGTGTGTATTTATTTTCACAATATATTTTATGCGTTACCAGAAGATGGACCCGATAATATAATGTTGTGAAAGGAGGGAAAAAATTTTTTTATAAGAAAAATATTTTTAAGAATAAAGAAATTTTTTTTCTCTTTTGTTTTTTGTTTCTCTACAAGTTTTTATTTCTAAAGAGAAGAAAAGAATGCTTTCTTTATTGTTTTGTGTGCTTGACGGAATGAGAAACAGGAAAAGAAAAAATATCGCAAAATTTTGTATTGATCTTGCATCGACGAAGTTTGTAATTTTGTTGCAAATTTCTTTTTTTTTATTTCAAATATCCGCAGGGTGTTTGATTGGCCAATTGACCCATTATTGTTTTTTTTTTTTTATTTCAAAAGAAAATTTTTCTACACTTGTATCTCATTTTTTTTTTTTTGTTTTTTTCTTAAATCAAATTTTTTTCCTGTATTTTTGCCTTTGATTCTTGTAAATTTTTTTTTAAATTTTGAAAAACGATTTTTTAATCGTCGTCATTTGAAAAGGATGAATGAGAACTAAAAAAAACAATGTGAACATTTTTTTTTTCATATTTTCGCCCACCAACTTCTCTAATCGTGTATAAAATGTTTAAAAAAATTAAAAGTTTAATAACATCATTTTTCTCCGATTTGCTTAATCGTTCAATGCAAAAACTAACTTCATAGTTTTTATAAACCTTTAAAATTTATTTTGCATGTTATTAGAAATTCTCCCACATCTTATAAGATCTATTTACATTTTTTAATAAATAGGACGCATGTTATTTTGAGAAAATTTTTGCTTTTGTTCTAAGACCCATTTAACGGTGATTAAAATGTATGTAATTGATATTTAATAGGATTTTTGGTTTTTAAATGCCGTTATTATGAAAAAAATTTCAAATAGATATTAATCTATTGATTCTTAAATTTTTAAACATAGCCTAAAACTAGATTTCATTGAGAGAGAAATAAATTAAGTAACAAGTTTGACATTCATCTGTCACATAATTGTTAATTATTTGTCATGACAATTGTCATTTGTTTGTCATTTATTTGACATTTATCTTCATCATATTATTAAACGTCACCTCAAATATTTGATTTTGAATTGACGAACTTTTTTTCGGAAGAACAATAGAACGAAAACCAAAAATTTTCGAAAAATTTTCATATTTTAGATGTCACTGTTATACTACGTACCGGTATGCAATTTGATTTTTTCGGAATCCATTCTTAAGTATTTCGAAATTCGCTCGTGAGTTTTTCAAAATCATTTATTCTTGTTGAAAATAAAAAATTTTCAGTTCGGTAAAATTTCTTAAATGTTCTCTAGCCAACTTTATATAAAATTTAACATTATTTTTAAATAATTCAATCATAAAATATAGGCCGATTATATTTCAATACATACATATATATAAATCCAATTATTCATGGTGTTAATATAATTACTGTTATCGAAAAATTCGAATCAAAAGTGAAAAAATTAACTAGGTTGAATTTATCACGATTTTATTTTATTTTTTTTGTGTTTGTTATAGGATTGAATTATAAAGTACCATATTATGCAACACTAAGTATATACTTTATCATAAGAATTATTTTATATAGAATTTTCTATATATAGTTAGCTAGTTTTTGTAATATTTACCTTCACTATAATATCTACGTCTAGAATTTGCAACTGCTTTTGGTGAACCATATTTTTCCCATTTTTCTTCAGTTAAACTTTCAGATTTTTCATTATTCTTTGTATTATTTTCATCCTTAGGCTCATCATCAATATAATCGTACTATAATAAGAAAATAAAAAAAAACAGAAATCAAAATAATAAATAAATAAAAACAGGAATTCTTTTTCTAAATTAACTTGTTATATAACAAGTAAAACATACAACATTCAATATACTCGTATATACACAAAGCTAAATACACTCTAACAACATTGCATTGAATTACGCTATACATTTATAATCGGAATACAAAGAAAAAAAAATAATGTCATTGTATGAATTGAATTTTAAGGTTAAAATGGCAAATAATTTAATATTTTTAATATCTTATGACTTTATTAACAAAAAAAAACAAATAAAAATACGAAAATTTTAAATTTATTTATGAATTTTTTCTGATTTTTGTGGTTCTGTTAAAAAAAAATTGGAGATAAGAGCATTTTATTCATTCATATTTTTCTGCCTCACAAAGAACTAGGATATTTTTCATGATTTTCAATAAAAATAATAGGTTTATAAAAATTTTTTTTTTATTTTCTGTTTAAAATTATTGGCATAATAAATGTAATCTGTATGCTTTATACTCTAAGGGTATAAATTTTAATAAAAATAAAATAATTATTTTTTAAACAATTTAATAATTTTTTTTTGGTTTTGGCTTTTTTTAGTAAAATATTGAATTATATTTAATTGAGATATAAAATTGGAAAAAATAATCATATTTGACCCTGCAGGTGAAATATAACAACTTGTGGACTGTAATTGTTAAAGTATTTTATTCAAGTTCAAAATGTTATATAAGCTGTTAATTATGTGCAAATAGTATAGTATATTGTAACTAGTTGTTAACGCGAAAGATTCATGTTATTGCAGAGTTTTATAGTTTGGTGTTAATTTAAGAGCATAAAACAATGAACTTTTTTGAAAAATAATGGTAATTTTAGAATAAATTAATTTTATGTATATATTTTTGATATTATTATTACAGGGTTAGTAACCGAAATCTTTAGGGGTCGTCTAGCCATATGGAAATCTATTGTGATTATCACCCAGTTATCTACATTAGCAGTATACTTAAGTCTCTGGAAAAATGTAGTATTGCAGTCATTTGAAACTGTGAGACTTTCGTTAGAGTACCTGGGATCTTAAAGTATATGTTTTAAGAGTTTCTGGTTTTTTTGTTAGCCTGAAGTTACTCTCCTGTTATACATATTATAGTGGTCTGATACAACTTAAAATGTATTGAAACGTATTGAAAATATCTTCCACAGGTCACGTTTCTATCCATGAAGAATAGAAACTGTCTTTATAATTACGATCTCATTACCATACTGAAACAATATCTCTTTGCTAAAGAGAATGCTTTTAAATAAACATACGCTCGAGACCCACCCTCCTGATGAACTCAAGCAACTTGTGAGGACCAGAAGACCGTAACTCGGCCACCGTTAGAGCAAAGCCCCTCAGCACCTCCCTCCTCCTATGAGCAAGAGCATCACATTCCTCCAGGAGGCGCACTGTGGTCTCTCCATACTCCCCACAGAATCTGCAAGTATCCTCATTTTCCAGGCCAAGCCGACTGAGGTGTCCCCTAAGCCTGCAGTGACCCGTCAAAATGCCGGTGAGTTGCTCACCTGGTTCTTGCACATCCCTATAATTTTCCTAAATCGCTTCTAGTCATAATCTCCCAGGAGCTCCTTGGTTTGCCACAGCTCCGGAAGACTTCTCCAGCGCTCTGACCGCCTCCTTTCTGATTCCTTCCTTAATTCCCAACGAATAGTATGTGGTTCGATTCCGTAGAAGGGCTCCGGCCCAAGAAGAGGTGTGTTTGCCCCCTTTCTTGCAAGCGCATCAGCGGCCTCATTTCCTTCCACGCCCACATGGCACGACACCCAACACAGTGTGACCCGGTTGCATCTGCCTAACTCATTGAACTTCTCAAGACAGCCCCATACTATCGCGGATGATACTGAAAACGAGTTCAGCGCTCCGATCGCATCCTGGCTATCCGACATAATCATTATCTCCTGTCCCCGGCACCCCTTTCCAGGCTGAACCGCACGCACATTTCAATGGCGTGCAACTAACACACTCGGAAAAGACCGAAACACACTCGGAAAAGTTCCTATAGGTTCGGAGAATTTTGTTCTTGGCCCAAATACCAACGCACCCGTCCCAATACTGGTCTTTGACCCATTTGCGTAACATCTGATAACGTGTGTTCCCACTGGGCGACCTGAAAAGTCACGCTCCCAGTTCCTTCTCTGTTATTCAGCAACGAGGCAAAATTTTTCTCGAAGCTGTACCTCTTTACCATGTCGTCCCGAGGCATCGATAAGAGCGGAACCTCCCCGAGGTTGTATAGATTTCATGTTATAATTGATTTCTAAATTTTAATAACTTGCCTAAGAATATATAACTGAATTACAATTGGCGGGAGGATCTAAATGACATAATTTTTCTTATTCATTTATTCGTAAAATTTTATTAATATAATAAGGAGAAAGTTAAAAATTATTTTTATTTTACTTACCAAATCAAAATCTTTTTCAAAATTATTAAAAATTTCATGATGATTAATTAAATCCTTTTTAATTAAATCAATGTCATCGTCAACATGTTGATATCTTCGTTGATATTGATCTTCATGATCATTATCATTATAATTTTCATTAAGATCGCCATCATCATCATTTACGTTATCGTGATAGTCACGATTTAAAATAATTTTTTTATGTACATTATGTGAATTTTTATTTATATGAATATCTTTGATCTTAGATTCAAAATTATTGAAAAGATTTCCAAGAATTCCATGATTTTCTTTGATGTTATCATCATCATAATCATTATCATCATCATCATCGTTATCAACATTGCGATCTTCATTGTAATAATAATAATCATCTTCATCATCATCTTCATTATTTTCATCTTCATTTACAATATTTTTATTTGTTTTATCATTATCGTTTTCATCATCGATATTATTATTATCATTATCATTTTCATTCTGATTTTCATTCTCATCATTATTGATATTGTAGATTTTATGATTTTTTTTCATTTTATCGATATTAGGATTAATGTTGACAATTTTTTTATGATTATCATTATAATGATGAGCATGATGATGTTGATTATAGTTGTGTTCACGATAATGATGATGTCTTCCAATTAATTCTGTGGAATGTTTGGGTGTTGTCTCTGTTTTATGATAAGATTTCGATTTAGATTCATTTATATCCGTTATTGGATAATATTTTTGATGATTCATTTGATGATGCTGATGATGTTGTTGTTGTTGTTGCTTTTGTTTATGTTCTTGCTGCCGCTGTAACACAATGTTATTTTGATCTTGAGGATTTTTTCTTAATGGAAATTTTAATGCCGCTCCTTCTTTAATTATTGCATCTGATAAAAATGATGATGATGATGATATTGATGGTGGTAGTTGTGGTGCCATTGTTATATTTTGTGATTTACTATGCACTTTATTTTCATTTAAAATTTCAATGTTTTTAGTTGAATTGACATTGTTATGATGCCGATGATGATAATCAAAATAATTTTTATATTGATGTGTTTCAGTATACGGTTTTATTGGTTTCATAGTTGTAATTGGAAGAATTGGGGTTGAATGAGAATTTTTTTTTAAATTTATTGCAGAATTAGAATTAGATTGATGTAATTGTTGCGCTGAATTTTTATAATTATTTTGATTTGAATTTAAAATATGTGTTGGCGGTAATGAAAAACTAAATGGATGTTTTGCTTCATCAAGTATTTTATGATTACTGTTTGATGATGATGATGATGAATAATTGTTAGTATCTCTTGAGTAATCATTATTTTTTTTATTAAATTCTATATGACTGATTTGTTCTTTATTTGAAGGAGTTGATAGCGATGAAGAAGTTGAATGTGATTTTGAAAATGTCGCTGAAGTTGGTATATGATGCAAATATTTTCGATTTTCTTGTAAATAATTATAATGATGTTGAGGTCGTTGCTGTTGCATTTCATTTTGATTTTGTTGTAATTGTTGTGTATTGAATCTATTATTTAATTTAGAGTGATGATTTGATTTATGATGTTGATTTCTTGTATGCTCATGTAATACTGTTGATGATGATGGCGATAATGATTTTGATGGTAATGATGATAATGTTCTAGTTGTGTCATCAATCTTATGATGACTATTTAATTGATATGAATTCACTATTATTTTATTACTATTTAAACTACTTAGGATAATAGTGATTACTGTCACAATAAATATGTTAAAATTTTTTGAAAATATTTTGTATGTCAACATTTTTCTCTTCTTTTGTTGATTTTTTTTTTCCTTATTTTTTTTTTCAGTGTTAAATTATTTTTAGCCTAAGTTTAAATGAATTACATCTAAAAAAAAAAAAGAAAATTTGAAAATATTTTACATTTTACATTCAATGAATGGTACTGGAACAACTGGGTACAGGAAAAATCATCAAATGAGAAAAATAAAATTTTTTTTTGGTCTTGTTTTAAAGTGCAAATTTGTTATAAGTGACACAAATAAATTTAATGAGTTTTTCTTTTTTGCTTAAGTTTAAAAGAAATTCAAAATAAACATGTTAATGTAGCCGACACTAAAAATTATGTACTTAAATGGTAAATTTGAATTGGCGCTAAAAATAATAATTTAACAATGACATTATACCGTCGGGCTCATTGATAGTAAAAATGTTTTTTGCAATGCTCTCTATGGTAATATTTGTTATTTGCATTAAAAACCATATAAGAAATGTAGGTTTTTGTTTTTGTTTAAGAATTGTAATTAATGAGGTTTTTGTTTTGTAGACAGATGTTTTTCTTAAATGAATCATTTAATTTTATAATAGTAAATCGAAGAGAAATGATTAATAATAATAAAGACTTAAAAAATCTTAACCTAATGTTGGAAACATGAGCATGGAGAATTTTTCTCGTTAACCTGAATTTTAATTTGAATTATGGTTATTGCATGGTGAAAATGTATATTGAATTATGAATAGCTTAATTACATAAGATTTAAATATATTACATAATCTTGTATAGGATTACGTTCGAAACTGTTCGACTTAAAATTTCTTGTACGTCTATAATCATTATCTAATAACTTCTCTCGTAATAAAAGCATTACCAATAAATTCTGGAAAATTTTTAAAATGACCGCAATACATGCAATAGGAGATGTTATGGGATCATACTTCTCCATGGTAGAGAATTGTATAAGCTATTATTAGCAAGATGTCGGTCTATTTGTCTGTGTTTGTAAGTAATATACAGGATGATTCAGAAAGGTATACAAAAACATATACTATTGGTTAAAGGGTCGAAAATGGGTAAAACTTTTGTTCCGGAGTAGGTGCAAAATCTCAAGGGTTTTCGAGATACAGGGATTTTAACGAATTTTCACGAAATTTCTAGTTATCTAAGCTTTTTTGATTATAACTTCCGTTCCAAAAAAGATAGGGGCTTCAAAAAAACAGTTTCTGAAAGGTCTAGTGAAGGGCTTAAAATAAACATCTTGCTTGATTATTTAAGGGCCCTAATCAAATGTAAAAAAGGGGAAATAACTTACTAGCGTCCTTAAAGTTGGAAAGAAGTATTTAAAAGGCATATTTTAACAATCCACTGCAAAACTTTTGCTTAAATATAAATAACACACATTGCGGCTGGTTATGCGCTGTTCACATCAGATTTTTAATACGTATTTGATTCATTTGATTTTAAAAAAATAGCTATGATTGAAAATTCTAATGCCTAAATCCAATAAGAGTATAATCATTGGAATAGCCAGTAGTCATATAATTCAATAGTAGTGCCGCTAAAATTAGAATTAATTATTTTTAAAATTAATTGTCATTAATTTGATCTGAGCGCATATTATAATTGCCGTGCAGTTATTCACATTGATATTAATTTATAATATTTTTTCAAATTAAAATCATTACTAATTTTACATTTTAATTACATACGTAATATATGTATTTTTTATTATTTAATATACTAAAATCCAAAGAGAAATCCCCAAGTTTATTTAATTTATAATTAAGATTTTTATATTCATGTCATTTACCTACATTTCTAAAAAATTTTTATGTCAATGATCAATTAATTTTTTTTTATTTTACTTAAATTTTCGTATCCAATCTTACAATATTTTCTTTCAAGCTTAATTTAAATTGGATTCTAAAAGGATTGTTGTCATTTTATAATTTTAATAAAAATAAATAAATGAATTTTTTAATGTTAAAATATAAAATAAATTTCCATTAATTTTAATTACCCTATTTTATTTTAAATCAGTTAAAAATGTTGTACAACTATAGTAAAAATTAATTTAAAAACAATAAATCATATAGATATGTGAAAATTAAAATTTAAAAAGAATAAAGTTAATTAATATGCATAATTGTATATGAATGTGTGCAGAGCTCCCTTTCAAAATATTGCGAATAAAAATAAAGAAAAGAAGAAACGAAAAAAAAGTGGAACGATTTATGCAAATTACAAAATATGAATTGCACTTATGCATGCTTATATGTTTAAAAGCTTTGGTTTTAAAAGTAACAAAATTGGATTTATTATTAATGAAATTCATTTTATATTTAACAATTTAAATATTTAGCTATAATAAAAAAACATTATGATTGAAAATTTTCATTTAGAATGCTTGAAAAGTTTGCCACAAATAACCAACATTTTTTTTTATGAGATTTCTACATGTTACATTAAAAAGTGAGAGAAAATTGTACATGAGCTCAATTATTGTGAACCGTAATTAAAATTGTTAACATTAATTGTCAACTCTCATTATTCTCAATTAGGACAGTAATATTGTAATTTATAATAAGTGATCATGTGTTATATAAAATGAGTAAAAATAATGAGAATTATTGAGAGTAAAATTACTTAATCACTCTTTACGTATTATTATAATGAATTGAGTATTATGAATATGATACTCAATGATATTATAATTAAAAATATGGGTATTAATTAAAATTTACGTATATTACGTATTTATTAATATTTTTAATGTAATAGTATAGAGCACCCAGATAAATTCAATAAATTTTGAATTTTTTCTAATAATAATTTTTTTCTTGAAGAAAGCTTTGAAATTCGATTTCGGAATTAAATATTTTTCATTTCTAACCTAATTTGCAATGTTTTATAAATTTTCTTTGAAATTGTTAATACTGGATATTGTGAATTTATAATCTCATATACATATGTACAGGGTCGGTTCTGAATTGTTCAGGGCCCAATCTTTAAAAGCAATGACCAATATGCAATTAATAAAGCAAAATAACAATTTTAATTTTTTTTAAGTTTATAATGACGTTTCTCTTTTTCGGCGTTCTTTGCAAATGCTAAAATGGTAGATCTGGCATAAATGTAAGTCTAATAATTAAAATTGTATAAATGTTTTTAAATGAATTTCCCGCAAAGTTTTTAATTCTTACACAATAACAAAAATTGAAACTTTTTTTTTTTTTAAATAGTCGCCTAAATTTGTGACACAACATTAATATGTCGTATATGTCGCGACATATCACTTCAAGAGACGTACTGTATGTGTTTATTTTACGTATAACCGAAAAACTTTTAAAATTACATTAAGTATATGTAACAAAATTTAAATGATTTCCTAAATTTTTTATTTTTTTTTTGTCTTATATCCTAATAGTGTCAACAATATTTCTTTATACATTAAAATAAAATTCTTTAATGTTTTAAACTTTTAATAAAAAAATATTTATTTTCCATAAAAAAAAAAAAAATTCCAGACTTTGATTTTTGTTTTTTTGTTAAATTAAAATATCAGACATAATAAAGAAAAAAAAAACAAAACACATATAACTGACAGATAAAAAGTATAATAAATTTTAAATTTAAATAAAAAAAAATTAAGAATACAATTTAAATTTAAATAAATAAAATATATGAAAGCGCAGAATGATTAATGGGTATGCGCCAAATTTTGCATATATTTTGAAGAAATTCTCATAAAATTTGTCATACAATTAAGTAAGTTGTAATTTTTTTTCTTTGAAATTTAATATTTTGTTTTTGGAACATTAAAATTATTTATGCCACTTTTTTGAATTGGTAAATTGGTAGAGTATAAATGTAAAATTATAAAAATTTAATTTTAAAATAATAAAATTTTTTATGTATTTTTTTTGGTTAATTATTGTGAATTTTTATGATAACGCCTTAAAGGCTGTTTTAAGCTTTTATTATTTAAAAATAATTTCAACAAGTTTAATAGTTTTTCTTAATTTATTTATTTAAATTAATTTTAATTAAAATTTGATACTGCGGGCTTGGTTCTCTCTTGGCTTTTTTTTTATTTTCAATTAATTTTAATATGCTATAATAAATTTTTAAACAAATTATGGCTAATTTTTGCACATATGAAGAAATTTTTACAGTATAACAGTTACAGTATAACACTTACAGTATAACAGTTAAAGTATAACAGTTATACGATTACAAATATTCAAATAGTTTTTTTTCTGTTCACTTTTAATAAATTTTTCTATTTATAAATAAAAAATAATATTCTTTTAATTTTCTTAAATTATTTTGATAAAAATAGATTTTTATTTACAATTAATTCCTTTGAATTCCATTAACAAAAAAAAAAAAAAACTTTTTTATTTTATTAAATAATTTGAATATTTTTATTTTTATGTTATTAATTTTATTATTCACTATAAAATATTATTTTTTTTTTCTTTTTTTTTATTTAATTTATTTTTTTCTTGTTAATTTATCATTTACTGCTCTATAAAAAAAATATTTTGTATTTATGGCGCGAGTATTTAATCGACCGACCGCCACGAAAGCAATATGAATATTGGCTAAATGATTTTTCCGATGTTTTTGAAAAGAGTGAAGAAAAAAAAATTAAAAGAATTCCTTGTAAAAAATTCGGGAATCTCATTTTTGGGGAGAAAATAAAAAAAAAAATAAAAAAAATTTATTTACTGATTCTAATATTAAAATATATGAGGGCAATCCGTATTTATTTCAGATGTGCTATTTTTTTGGGGACGATGAGATACTGTACGTAATTTTTCCTACGTGTGAAAATAACAGTTATTGCAGTATTGATATTTTTTTGGTATGGTTCGCGTGCCAGTCTCATACTTTTTGGCCGTATGATTACAAAGAAAATTCCTGCTTCATGTTTGCTATTAGGCCATTCAGCTATTTGCTAAAGGCGGTATCCGCTTTCATTTGGTCAGCTCGCCAGTTTTCTTTTAGCTTCACTACCATAGCAGTGTTCCAAGGTCAACGAAGGTGCCACGAAATACAGCTAAAGTGTCATCTACAAAAACAAAATGTCGACTTTCTCAACCTAC